TGAGAACAATACAGTCTAAGAAAAGAGTAAGACAATAAACTTTTTGAGTACAAAGGATTAAAGGCACCCAATGCGATTTCAGGGCAGCAAAACTGGAAATATTCTGAATAAGGCAATCTTTATGATATTGACACATACTGCTTCACATTAGCACATTTGAGTCAGTATTTCAAACTTCAAGCTTTTAAAACTGCAGAAATAAGCCTCAAGATGAGTCCTTTATTTTCTGAGTGGTACCCTAAAAATCAGCCAAGGGCCCTTCCAGTAACCATTTTCCGTCAGAATTTTGGGAATTTTAATTTTGCTCCTTGAGGGTCAATATGTCAATATACACTGGGATAGTGTGGTTTCAACTTAGTATGTAGATAAGTGGGTAGAATATTGACTTTGAAAAGTCGGGTTTCAAGCCCTAAAAACTGCACTGGATGCCTTTAACTGCACGAACTAAAATTTGAGCTTGTAGAGAGGCTTCTTAATGGTTTTCTTGTCTTGTTATCGTTGTTTTTTCACTCCATGAACAACATTACATGGCCTCTTATTCGGTACTAAATGCTTCCCAAATGACGAGTATACGTAGCTTGATGATCGTTCCAGAAATCATTGCATCGTATAGCTAGATAAAACCACAATTGCTCGAGCCATTTCCTGTTAAAGCCATGCTGATTTTCATTATAGGAGAACCTTTATTGACAAAACAAAAGTACAGCGTACAGTACTGTATAGCGTACAGTACAGTATATAAATGACATACATGAATTTTGTGAATAGGCGCATCATAGTAATTTTCGTGCGTTCCGTCCGCCCCAACCCAAAAAAGGTTTTCGACTATAATGTAAATTGAACAAAGAAGCTGACCAAAATGAGTAAATATGTGCCGTAAATTTAAAAAAAAATATTGGAAAATGATAAATGGCTAAACACTATACTATGATACTAATGCCGTAGAATACCAAAGAAAATAAGAAGAAAATGTGAAGAAATAAAAATGAAGAGTCTATCATTTTCCATATATACCATACTCTGTGTGTTTAGTCATTTGTTCAACCTTCATGACCAGGTAGATTTCATAATGAAGGCAAATGTTTTGGCTAATTTTTTTCGCTGTTCGCACGCTCGCATCAGTTTTGGGGTTCCCAGAGGATGTCATCCAAATCAAAATGGCCTTACATTCCTTCTTCTTATACCCAGTATCAAATGCCTCCCAAATTACGAGTATACGTACGTAGCTTCAATTTGATTATATCGTTTAAAATCTTTGCATCCTAGATAAAACCACATTGTATTCTTGTAAGCCATTTCGACTTAACGTCCAAGATCGTACGTTGATGCAAACATATGGAGAGCTTAGTATGGATTTCCGCACAGGATGTTTGGTCGATGTTTGGTCTTTCTAGTTGGTTAAGCATGATGGATGTGCAATGATAACAGTAAAGACGTGTATTACATCTTGGCCTTGAGAGCACTCGACGTGAGTGATCGTTATAGACTAGAGGACATTGACCCGTGCGTTTACAACAGTTTGATGAATGCTCATCAGATACGTTTGCGATGCATCTTGTAACGCCATTTCACTATAGCTAAGTTTTTAAACGCTGTACGGCCTCTACAGAAGCAAATTAAAGGCATTGATACCAGTCTACCAGATACCTTTGACCCAGTGTTGACGTCACACTTCAAAGAAGCCACGTGACAAGCTTCACTGGGTCAGTCTACTGAGGACGACCAGAGTGACTGGTCGAAAGCTCTAGGTGAGAGAATTTTTTGTGTTGGACCAAAAGTTTTTTACTTTAAACATAGAGGCATTGAATTCAATTTTAGGGCAACAAAACTGGTTTTTCAAAGTCAATTCATTTTGTCATTCTTTTAATGTAGTAAGTTGAATCAATTCTATCCCATTGCGTACTGATGTCTGTGAGGCAAAAATGCAATGTCACTGACGGAAAACGCTAGCTTGTTTTGTATTGTAGACTGGTTTTAGCAATTTATGGGTGGTACCCAAAAGAATAAAGAGACACCTCGTGTGGCTTGTTTTGGGGATATTGAAAATGCTTCAAATATGAAAAGATGACGAAAATGTGCAAATGTCAATAACAAACAGATTTTCTCATCCTGAATATTTCTTATCTGGCGCCTTGAAATTGCATCGGGTGCCTTTAATATAAGGGACTTAATATTATATCAAGAATGTTCTGAGATGCACTGTTGACAGCAAATCCAAACTAATACGTCCGGATATACATATTTGCAAGAACAGAGATGGCGATCTGTCAGAATCGGAGATTCTACCACTAGATTCCACCTGGTCAGTAAATTATAGATTTTCAATTATAGATAAAGGTTAACACGTTGTAGCCAGACCAGTGGCTGCGGGATGTTATTGATTTACTCCTACAAACATGTCACAAAGTTATCAGTTGATGGATAACAACGGTTTAAGCAGCTCAATCGATATTTCAAAAAGTCAACAAAATGTCCAAGAGCCACTGAACTGTAGGCTACGTATATGTTGGTAGTCCTTCGCGAACTAAAATGGCTGAATACGTGTTTACGTGTATACATCAAGAGTACAACAAGACTGGCAATGAAAACATACATTGCCATGGCGACGGTGGTTGCTGTTGGGGTTATTGTTTGCGTGGCACTGTCATGATTTCATGAATTTTAAGGAAGACTTGGTACATGTTAAAGATACAGTGCACTCCTCTCCTGAGTGTATAGTGAACGAGCCCCGGGGTCGAAGAAGGTAGGGCCATCCGGGGCAGAGAGGTCTTCCCAAGGGTTTCCAGGAATGTGGGCATAGATGTGGGTCAGAGACATGCCTGTGGACATTCCATTCCTGTGGACAAAATGCCTGTACCATTCCTAGAATTATTGCAAACTGCACACAATACTGTACCATTAGGCTCGTCCCTGAGACGTCGCCAAAAAACAACAAGAGTCCACACAACAAAAAACAACAAGTGTCCACACAACACAAAGTTCCGTGAAGTTGTAACACTTTTGGCAGAGTGGGCGAACATATATATCGTGCCAACAAACTCAAAACAACTTTGTGCAAGCAGAACAAACTCTTCAAGTATGGAGTGATGCCAAAATGTGCTAAAGCGATGGCAGTACATGCCGTTATCAAATTTCTTCACTGAAGTTGCATTGAATGCTTTTAAACGCCGATAGCAGCTCGGCCATCCACCAAGACGCTACAACCGTGAATGCAACACTCAATTTCTGCTTGGAAAAAACCTATCAGCGCACACCCACAAAGGCCGACAAAATTAATGACCTGCTCCACAAGTCCATAAAAATAGGGGTGTTTCTGAAATTTTAAATGGCTTATCAAAACTGCTACGCTATAAAACCGCAACGTGCATCATCTCGCGCAAACTAGCAGACGACATGCCAAACTACAAACTACTAACAATGCAACAAAGAAAGAATTACAGCTGCGAACATACAGAGACATGTCTCATTTCATTAGGCCACAGCAAGTAAATTTATGGATGACATCCTCCGCAGACTCCAAATCTAATGCGAGCGGGCGAAAAAAACAAGGTTCCTACATTTTGACATTTTGACTCAATCCTTGTACCGATGGTTTTGATTCATTAGGAACATTACATATACACAGCCTAGCCAACATCACATATCACTGCATCAAAGTAAGAAACAAAATATTAAATCAGAGCCTTTTCTTGTCTCCTCTCTTTATAGTTATCTGCCATCCACCTTCCGGCATGGCAACAGATATCTTTGCCCATTTTCGGCATGGTGACCACTGTCAGAAAGCGAAGGCAATGGATTTTTTTCTTCTTTTCCAAAATCAGGAGAACATTAATGCGCGCGTTGATGTCGTCCATAAAAATTACTTGCTGTGGTCTTACTCCGACGTAGGTAACTGACCTCCTTCACAGAGTAAAATAAAACTTCAGCGCACGACATATTCCTTAACAGAAGAAACTGCCAACCCTTGCCATGTAGTATTCCCAGTATATGGCATGTCATTGCCCTGCGCATGGATCTATATTATTCTGACAAGTTCCATCGGACAAGGAGCAACGGTTATGTGTGAATATAAATCAAGCTGTTATCGCCCTCCCAGTCAGGCATCAATGAGTCCATAGACAAAGCAGATCAATGAATGGCAGCAAAATTCATGAACTTGATTGGTAAGTGTGGGGTGGTGTAGCGTAGCGGCAGAGTGCTCGACTCGGAAGCAAGAGGTCCTGGGTTCGAGTCCTAACATGCCGCCGATCTTGTGACCTTGGGAAACGACTTTCCTCACTTAACTCAAGTGAAAATGAGTATTGTCTTGTTTTGGAAACGTATTTTTCCCCTATTTGCGTTGGTGAAGGCATAGAATAAGTTGATATAACTTGAGTGTGCTGTCACCATATCTAGTCATGAAATGTTGGTATAAAAAACCTGATTGGTATATGTAACACCTCTCTGGAATAAATCGTCGACGTGTGGTATGAAAAAAGAGCTATTTGCGTCGATAAAGGAAAGGTGGTCTTCGTTAGATACTAAAAAATCTCAGTTTCTTTCTTGAATACAACGATAAAGGTCAAGTACGAAAGCATTTGATCGAATTGCCCCTTGGCGCTACTATGAATTGGTTACCTTAAAACAACATACATCACTGTCAGATTCCATGAGGCTGTCAACTGGAAGCCGTTACAAAGGGCCTTCTCCACCGGGATCATTTGGGGTTTATAATTCCATCCATCCATCAGACATATAGGGGCAGCATAGCGTTCAACTAAAGATTTACAATAGAAAATGTACAAAATTTGACTGTCGTTGGAAACTCGTAAGTAACACTGTTTAGGCGTGATCTTTAAAGCTACATTATGTCACGGTCAATATTGCTTCCAGTTTTGTGTATGTGTTTTGCGGTTTCACATGTTCCTCAGTAATTTTTATTTGTTGTGCCATCATTATCCTTTAGAATTCTGAAAATGAGTAAAAAAAGAACTTTAAAAAACTCTAACTCCCTTTCCCAGGTGCATCGGTAGCCTGCAGTATCCTGACCATGACGGTGATCGCCATGGACCGCTTCTACGCCATCATCTTCCCGCTGAAGGCCCGGGTTACCGACACTAACGCCGCCGTGGTCATATCGCTTGTCTGGATCGCCGCCATCGCTGCCAACGTGCCTCTACTGGTGGTCCTGGAACAGAAGGAGTATCTGTGGGACGACGGCTTTCTGGAGGTTAGAATCTTTTTGTATACAACTAGAGAAGTAACCTTTGGAAAGCAAATGCATAACGTTTACCTTCGGACATGGCCTGCCCTGTTAATTTTTACTCAAACACATTCACATACAAGTACTTCGGGTATATGGTGACAGGAGTAGAGCAGACAATGAAATTGCAACATTATGTAACCCAACACCAGTTACCATGGTGACAGACGTCAACAAATCATGTCATTAGCTAGGTCAAAGGTTAGTGTTTGGAACAGAAGAGGAGGAGGAAGAAACTGAGTATAACATTATGACAACTTAATCAGCATGAAAGTTCATCTGAGTTGGTAAATTACATTCTGAAAAACTTAAACTTTTCTCCAACTCAAAATTTGACTCACTAGAAATTTTCGACTGAATCACTCAGTCTTCCTCAGCTATCTGACCTAAATGCTGTGGACACGTGATTTTTCCGACGTGTGACGTCATCAAAGGGTCAAAGGTTGTCTGAAGTCGATATTGCCCCCCGTGAGTTGGAGAACAGTTTAAATTTTCATAATAAATATAACATTATGACAACTTAATGTTACTAGTATTAAGTATATTATTGACATCGTAAGTATCACAAAAGTAATGTGATTTTTGTTTTAGTTCTTGTTTGAGATTATATTATATGGTGCACCCCACATTTCATTTGTGGAACAGAAGGGCTTTCTGGAGGTTAGAATCTTTTTTTGGCTTAGGCCAGCCATGTTGATTTGATTATATGAATGACATCCAAACGCGGATGAATTTTCGTTCGTTTTCAAATAAAGGATTTTGGCCGGCTGTAAATCGTACAATGCAGCTTCAAACATTTTAACATTCGGCTGAGCAGAAGCCGACCTGGCCGAACACCAGCCGACATTGCTCCCGACCTACTACTACCCACGGATGCCATATTCTGCTATGTTTGACAGGGGCTTAAGTTGTGTTACCGTGCGTACCGGGTATCAGGTCAGGCTGAACCTCCCACTGCATGGAGGTTGCATGGTGTTTAACTCCGTAATCCCCTTTTAATGAAGAGAATTGGAAAATATTCTAAAGTGATTTAAAATTACCGACTGTGACTATATCAGGTCACGTCGGGTGAAAATATAGATCACACCGAATTTATGATAGATTAGCTCACAAGGCAAATTAATACCTTCAACTATATTAGCTGAATCAAAAATTGATACCTCGATCTGCCTCGTTTGTTTGAAGTAGCAGGGCTATACTAACGTTAACTTGACCCATTCCGTACCAACATACCAAATATCACAACATTCCATAGACCTTATCTTGAAAGTTCATCTGTGTTGGTAAAAATCATTATGAAGCAAGTTTTTCCAACACAAGAAATTGGACTCACCCGAATTTTCGACTGTACAACTCCAGTCTTTGTCATGGAATGAGCAATCCAACGCTTACGTGACGTCACGCAGTTAACACACGTGACTCCGTGAGCAGTGGATCATAGGTTGCAGAAAGTCTGTGGCGCTCCCCGTCTCTGTTGAGGGATGGTTGTAATGCCCTAAAGTAGATGGCCCCATTAATCCCACGTGCAAAGAAATCCGGTTCTGCGTCCAAGATTCTTACTTTGTCCAGTGAGAACTGAATGATATCTGCGTGACGTCACGGAAGCGGTGGATTGTTCATTCCTTGACAAAGACTGTCGAGAAGTACAGTCGAAAAATTCGGGTGAATACAATTTGTTGTGTTGTAAATTACAGTTTAAAATTCATAATTCCATAGACCTTCTGAAGTCGTGTTGGCCATAAATATGCGGAAACACAGGCACACTAAAACACACACGCACGCACACACGTACATACGTACATACAAACACACTCAGACAGATAAAAAAACAATACCTCCATTTTTCATGGCGGTACTAAGAAACTTCCACTAGTTACACCTACTTTCTCACCTTCCTGACTACAGGTGTGGTGCTTTGAGAGCTGGCCCAATGACAACTACCACGGCTACAGGCAGGCCTACTCCATGTTCCTGTTTGTCGCCATCTACACTATCCCAATGCTTGTCATGACCGGAGCCTACGCCATGATCGGCAAAAAGCTGTGGAACAAGATGACTCCCGGAGTCACCATCATGTCAATGGAATCCGCACAGGCTAAGATCAAGAAAAAGGTTAGACCTCCGTAAATAATTTTTCATCGCGTTGGTGAATAGTAACATCAACAAGACTGGCAATGAAAACATACATTGCCATGGCGACGGTGGTTGCTGTTAGGGTTATTGTTTGCATGGCACTGCCATCATTTCATGATTTTGAGTAAGACTTGGTACCTGTTAAATCCAGACACATACAGTGCATTCCTCCCTTGATTGTATCGTGAACGAGCCCCGGGGTCACAGAAAGTAGGGCCATCAGGGGCAGACAGGTATTCCCAAAGGTTTCCGGAATATGGTCATAGATGTGGGTCAGAGACATGCCTGTGGACATTCCATTCCTGTGGACAAAATGCCTGTACCGTTCCTAGAACTATTGCAAACTGCACACAATACTGTATCATTAGGCTCCTCCCTGAGACGTCGCCAAAAAGTCTTTTATTCACCGGCATTTGTTTGAAATGAGCCGGCTTTTCAATGACCGTCTCTCATCTTCACCAGAGCCAATATGACTGGTTTACTGTGTGCACTGTGTGCACTGTGTGCACTGGTGCTGGTTAATCTCCAAGCAGATTCTCCTCCTGACGGTAGATTCGTGTGGCGGCCTCCCGTAGACTGCTGGCCACCCCACGAATCTGCCGCAAAACGCTCCAGGGCTGGGTACGAGTATCATTTCCCATTTCCCATAGACGAAATGTTGCCTCTCTATTCCTCTTTTACAGATATTTTCATGGTCATTGCTCTGCAGAACTCACCCAACTAGTACCACTCCGAACTTTTAAGCGCTCCACTAGGTTCTCCACTAGCTCACACAACTTCACCGTCCAAATTCCTCGTTCGACATCTTTTTACTGTGACACTTTCTTTCCCCGTACGGCCAAGCTTTGGAATTCCCTCCCTGACAAGTGTTTCCCACCAACCTACAATCTACAGGCTTTAAAATCAAACGTTCACCGTCATCTCTTGACATAGCCATGTTTTTCTCATCTTTCTAGTTCAATGCCGAGAAGTGGTGGCATACGCCTTGCATTGAACTACTCCGTTAAAAAAATTCAAAATCCTTGTCGATGCCCCTCACTCGTGAGGCGACCAGCGGTTTAATACATGAAGCCGATGGATACAGCCAGCCAATATAGACTCCCCTTATCCAACGAATCTGCTTGGAGATAAATACTGCTAGATTAATAGTGTGAACCAGCGAACCAATAACACAGAGCCCCAGGGCACAGTAAAGCAGTCATATTAGCCCTGATAAAGATGACAGACGGTAATAAAAAGTTGACAGGATCGAAGTCGGTAGCCGATCTATTCGGCTCGACCCGGGCAAGTTCATCCTAGTGGGAAAAGGGTTTCAAATCAATCCTTCCTTCCCTCAAGGAAAGGAGAGAGTTGGCTGCATTTGACAAAACTAAAAAAAAACATAATGAAACCAAAACATCCACTTCACGAACTGGTTCCACCTCAGAGACTGACTTCCACGGGGGATAAACTGAGAAACCACGACAACATCAGCCTTCCCTTGGCCAGAACAGAGCGGCTGAGAAAATCATTTTTGTACACTGCTGTCAGACTGTACAATACGTCATTTCGTGTCCCTTTTAAGTATAGTTTCAGAATGAATGTGTTTTAGACCGTTCTCTCATAATTGTTTTAACTCGCTTAAATGTCGCAGCTGCAAAATACTATAGTTCAATTCTGTTTCAAAGATTACAAATAGATGAAAAATGTTTTTAAAATGTACAATATATTACGTATTTTAGTACTTTGATCTTAGAATGTTGTAAGTAGTAATTTCAATATAAGGTATTTCTGAATATTTCGAAATGTAATAAAATATATTAGTAAGTGTAACGTGCTCGCGACTTGTGTACAAACCTCACAAATCAGCCGTGAGGCTGCGATGGGCTTTGGTTTTCAATAAACAATAAACATGAAATAAACAATTAACAATAAACATTGCTCATGCAGGTAATCAGGATGCTGGTCGTCTTGGTCCTGGTTTTCTTCGTCTGCTGGACTCCTTACCAGATCATCCAGCTGTACAAGGACTTCAGGAGAAAAGGACCGGTAAGCAGACACTCCAAGGGTCTCATTTTACGTCATTGCTTAAAGGCATCCATAGCATCCTTACGAAGCAAGTTTAAAATGTAATATCCAACACATGAAATTGGACTCACCCAAATTTTCGACTGTACAACTCCAGTCTTTGTCAAGGAATGAGCAATCCACCGCTTCCGTGACGTCACTCAGATAACACACGTGACTCCGTGAGCAGTGGATCATAGGTTGCAGAAAGTCTATGGCGCCCCACGTCTCTGTTGAGGGATGAATGTAATGCCCTGATGTAGATGGCCTCTTTAATCCCTCGTGCAAAGAATTCTGGCTCTGAGTGCAAGATTCTTACTTTGTCCAGTGAGACTGACGTCACGAAAGCGGTGGATTGTTCATTCCTTGACAAAGACTGGAGTTGTAAAGTCAAAAATTTTGGTGAGTCCAATTAATTGTGTTGTATATTACAGCTTAAACTTGCTTCATAATGATTTCTACCAACACACTCAGATGAACTTTAAAGGCATCCATAGCATCCATTAATGAAAAAAAATCGGGGTACGAAAATCGGAAATCTGTCTGCTATTGACATTCATTGCCTTTTCTAAGCACGATAATTTCTGACTTAATAAAGGTAGTGGATGAAATAACCACATTTATTTTTATCTACTACCATTGTTAAGTCTGCTACGGTTCCCAAATTAAACATTACCCGGCTTTATTGGCATTTTCTACCACTGGTAAATACAATTTTTCGTGCAGTGACATTTTTCATTGAAAGACCTTTATTGTAAGTTCTTACAAGCTAAGTACAGGTTATGAATAAAGTAGAGGTAAAGTATCTTATCAAAACTATGCATGCCAGTGTGAACTACTATTTACATATACAAATTAATTCTTCTCGCTTCTTTAGGCAGTTGTACAATACAATACACGCATATGGAGCTATAATGATAAATTGTTTGCCACGAGGAAGATGATTTTTCTGTTTTATCTTTAAGTCTAAATCTAGGGAACTTATATCTTGTTTTATCTAAATTACAAACTTTATCTATATTACAAAATTAAAAATCCTGATGTAGAGGAATGTGTTCTTGCCTTTTTTATGGGTTCACCACACCACGAAGTGGTGGTGAACCCATATTGCTTTTTCTGATGTTTCTCCTCCTCCTCCTGCCATTTTTTAAATGGATTCAGCTTCTTCATTTTAGGGCCCAAGGTCCTGAAATTTGGTATGGAGGTACAGTGGGCAAATACCCCTAGGCGGTTTTTAAATTATTGTGATACAGGCTTTTAGAATGGTTTTATTTGAGTTTTTTGGCTG